CGCAAAACTTTTATTTCGCTATGACGGACCATACAAAGTCCTTCGCAAGATCAGCAACCTCACCTACGAGATACAGCGAGTCGTCGACGAAGCGCACTCAATGCCACCACCATCCACTGTTGTGCACGTCGTAAGACTGAAGCCTTATGTGTCACCCAACACTCCCCTTTCGTGACAAGCGCCGGGTCGGCGCTTTAACGCCGCGGGGTAGTGCCACAAGGCAGTAGTGGGATTGGGGCATAAAGCGGTAGAGGGTCCCTGGCTAAAAGAGAAGACTACGAAGTGGATATAGACTGGTTCCAGCCCGCCAGTGCGCCAGGCATTGTCATCGCGTGTAATCGTTGTAAATATCTGTAAATATACGTTTTCTTGTAAGATTATTTCCACTCAAAGACCCTTTTCACGTTTCGCTCTCCTATCACTTGGATCATATCCCTCAAGTAGTGAATGTGAAATATCTGGGGGTGACCTATGACCAATCAATGTCTTGGAAGACACACATTGAAAACATTGCAGCAAAGGGAGGTTGTGCGATGCGAATATTAAGCAAAATTAGTAATAGTCGCTTAGGTATGCCGAGAAATACTTTTATCTGAGTGTATTGTATGTACATTCGCCCGGTGCTTGACTTGGGGTGTGTGTTATACGCGGGGGCACCTGCCTACAAGATACAGCCTCTGGTAGTCATAGAGAGACAAGCCTTGAGACTATGCTTAGGTATCCCCAAGTTTGTTTCAATCAAGATCTTGTATCTTGAAGCTAGGGTTCCCTCACTTGTGACCCGTTTTAAATGGTTAGCTACACAGGCATTTCTCAGGCTCTATGAATCGCCGGTAAGGCGCTTAGAAACAGTTGTTATTGACCGTCCTGACTTGTTTTTTGGACAATACTGGCCGAGATCTCATATACCACAAATTTTGGTTATACAGCGCTTTCTAGATGATTTAGATGTTCAAATTGATGCTGTTCCTTTAATCAGTACCAATAACCGTGCTATTAAATTACAGTTTGATGATATATTTCCGAAAAATTCAAAATTGGTGCCGCTCAGTTTTTTAGAAGCTATTTAAGAGATTACCTAGAACATAAGTCAATACAAGCAGTCATAGCAACTGATGCGTCAGAAAGGAAAGAAAAATGTGGAATTAGTATTTTTTCTCCTGCCCTAGACTGGTTCTTTTCGCTTTGCCTTCCCGATTATGTGTCCATATTTGAAGCAGAATTTTTGACGATAATTTTAGCTCTCCGTAAAATAACTGCTTCAGTAAGAACCGCAATAATTTTAACCGATTCACTATCAGTATGTGCCTCCCTTACTGCAGATGAGAACTCGCATGCTCAGAACGCTTTCAAAGCATTAGTTCCCTCGCATCTCAATCTCATCAAACTGGTCTGGGTTCCTGGACATAAGGGCGTTTATATGAATGAAATGGCAGATGCGTTGGCCGAGTCACCTTTAAATGGGCCTGTTATTGATGTATTACCGGCACCTAAATTCTTCATAGGCGCTAGATTAAGAAGGACACTACTCTTAAAAGAATTTTCTAAACCTTTACTAACAGCCACACCAGAATTCAAGAACTTGTTATACCATTGGAAAAGTAAAATATGTCAAACGCGAGGAACGGAAGTCGCAATCACTAGACTGCGCTGTCAAATTCCACAGCTGAATTTATATTTACACAGAGCTGGTCTGGCAGCCTCCCCTCATTGTCCTGTTTGTGGAGTAAATGAGTCAACTGAACATTAGCTCATTTATTGTATTAGATTCTCTGTCTTACGTAAAAACACTTTAGGAGCCGTTTGCAACCTTCTCGGAATAGATTTAAACACTGAAAATGAGCTTTCTTTCAGGGTTTTGTGTCTAGGCCACAGCGACGGGAAGATGGTTGACGCAGTGCAGGAGTTCGTCAAAAGTTCAAAGAGGTTCAAGTGTTGAAATCATTGTTCGGTAGATTTTGAAATTTCCAAATTCATATTACATCAAATACGAAGCTTTATTGCATTACACTACAGATTATTTACAATTCAACCATCAAATTCGTCTTGTTGCATCTTTCTTTTATGACTCGTAAACGGATTAATTTTATCCTGTTATTAAACAAGCAATTCATGAAAACTATTCGGTTCTTGGCCAATCCCCCAGCGTGGGTATGCGCCATGTCGTCAAGGATCTTGACTTGACTTGACTTGATAGGGTTTAACGTCCCGAAAAAAATGTACGATTATGACAGACGCCCTAATGAAGGACTCCAGAAATTTTCACAAATTGGAGTTCTTTACCTCGCATATAGATATAAATATACGGGCCTTCATAAGTATACGTATAAGGTATAAGTATACGGGCTATGTATAAGTATACATTGCCTTCATAGATTACGAGAAGGCGTTTGATTCAGTACAAATATCAGCTGTCATGCAGACACTGCGGAATCAGGGTTTCTATGAAGCATATATAAACATCCTGGCAGATGTCTACAGGGGATCAACTCCTACCAGAGTGCTTCATAAAGAAAGCAACAGAATACCAATCAAGAAGGGCGTAAGACAGGGGGACACAACCTCCCCACTGCTATTTACCGCGTGCTTACAGGAGGTTTTCAGAAGCCTAGAATGGGAACAGTTAGGGATAAGAGTTAATGGAGAGTACCTTAGTAACCTGCGCATCGCCGATGACATTGAACTGCTGAGTAACTGAGGGGACGAATTGCAACTCATGATTACGGAGTTAGACAAGGAGAACAGAAAGGTGAGTCTTAAAATAATCTGCAGAAAACGAAAGTAATGTACAACAACCTCGGAAAAGGGCAGCGCTTCGAGATAGGTAATAGTGCACTTCAAGTTGTAAAAGACTATGTCTACTTAAGGCAGGTAAAAACAGCGGAGCCTCACCACGAGACTGATGTAACTAGAAGAATAAGAATGGGGTCGAGCACATTTGGCAAGCACTCTCAATTTATGACTGGTAGATTGCCACTATCCCTCAAGAGGAAGATATATAACAGCTGTATCTAGCTGGTACTTAGTTATGAAGCAGAAACCTAGAGACTTACAAAGAGGGTTCAGCTTAAATTGAGGACGACGCAGCGAGCGATGGAAAGAAAAATCGTAGGTGTAACCTTAAGAGACAGAAGAGAGTAGAGCGGATTATGGAACAAACGGGGGCTAAGAATATAATATTTGAAATCAAGAAGGGGAAATGGACATCCGCCGTGCATGTAGCGCGTGGACAGGACAATCGCTGGTCATTAAGGGTAACTAACTGGATTCCCAGAGAAGGCAAGCGGGTTAGGGGGAGACAGAAGGTTAGGTGGGCAGATGAGATTAAGAAGTTTTCAGGTATTAATTGGCAGCAGCAAGCACAAGACCGGGTTAACTGGCGGAACTTGAGAGAGGCCTTTGCCCTGCAGTGGACGTAGTCAGGCTGATGATGATGATGATGATGATGATACGGACCTCAAGCACTTTTACCAACTCCATCGGAAATGCGCCCACTGCGGCTGGGAATCGATACCGCGACCTGCTGGGCCGCCATCAAGTGCCTTAGCAACTAGGTCACCGTGGCAGGTCAATCGCAGCGTCAGATACCACCCTTTGTGAGCACGAATGCGCAGAATGCCGGAGTCCACCAAAACATTAGTGACGTGTTTTCATCACGGATATGATGTTATAAAATTAATGCCATCAATTGAGAAAGAAAAAGACAACATTGAGGTAAAATTTCTGCCAAAAATCGAACCTCTGACTGCTTAGACCGCGGTGACAAGCGTCCGGTGCTGTGCCACCTGAGCTAACAAGACTACTACAATGCTCTTTGAAACGCGCCTTGTATTTCTTACACAATCTTTCTCGTACGGTGCTCTCTGTTAGCTATCGGGGTGATGCCGCCATCACTGAGAAGTGACAAGAAGTAATGAGGCATGACACTAGGTAGTGCATACTCAGAATGATTAGTCGGCGACAAAGTCGGTGTCGGAGGTAGAGCACGGGCTCGCAATCACGGAGGGCATGGTTTAGTCGTCTCAAGCGTCTGCCATATGACGAGGTCATGTTCTTTTCCTGTTGCTTCGTGGTAGCGCGTGACGGGTCGTTGTCGGAGTAGCACAGCTTGCCTATCCTGCCGACAGTGTTTCAAACCCGACAGTAAAACTGCTCCAGTAAGCGTCGCAGAAAAGCTACGATGTTGACGGTAGGATGTCGTGTCTTAGAGGAGCGAGACATATAGTCGAGTGGGACGGGGAGCGCCTGGGCTGCCTGCGCACGTTCGCGGCTCAAGCCAGGAGCCTCTACCTACCCTGTTGCTGAAGTTCATTGTGGGAGTGTATGCATCATCAAAGACGTTGGTCGCCCTATTACTTAAGAGCGCACGTCAAGTCCTTCCTCTTCTCATATGACAACTGCCTTTAAAGAAGTGCATATCAAGTAGCGGTGTATATTATGTGCTTGTTGAGGCCGTCTTTATTCACATTACACTGTGTCCAGATATAGGATAACTTCTTCTACCACAACTGTTGAATTATAATAATGGGTGGTAGTCATTGCGACACTAAGCGTTGACGTGCGCGCATCCACTTCAAACATTGCTATAGCTGTCATACACCTAAAGATGTTGCACTAACTCTCATAATCACCACACAATAAGCACTACTTCCATGAAGGTAGTTTTCACTTTCGTGTTATAGCAATTACTATAACATGGAGATTAGTCATGCTTTTTTTTAGATTGGTATGAAATATAATGAAATGGTCGCACGACCACATCGCTTGCTCAAAGGCAGGCCGACTGCAGAGTTACAGCGCAAGGCAACACGTGAACAAAAAATGCGAGGGGAGGAATAGGCTCAAGGCAATAAAACAAGAAGAAAAAACAACTTAAGTATGGTTTGAATGAATGGGCAAGCAAGATGCGAAAGGTTATGCCATGATTTTTGTCAAAAAAAGGATGTCAATACACTGACATCGCTTTTTTGGAGTGCGTACATTGAGTAAATTCTACAAACCTGAAAAGCACACACAGAACGGGCACGTTGAGCATCACTCCCGAAAGAAAGAGCATCATCCAGGAATAGCCGAATTCCTGCGCTAGGTAGAGCAGTATGCGAGGGAAGAAGGAGCCCGCAGCACAGAATGCGACCATATTCAGCTGCATCAGCAGGCGGCGCTTCGTGATCGGGAATGTACGCTCGATGAACGTGCCAGTCAGCACGAACACCATGCCGGCACCAATTCCTGCGCATTTACAAGTATACATCTACAGTCAGCAGGTGTTTCGCTGTTGCAAACTATAGCCAGCAAATGTACTCAAGTAATGCAATGAGGTGTTATCGCATACACTTGCCGTGGGCATTTACAGAATCTCTAGTGAAACGCATTGTCAACAAGGGACATTAGATAAGGCAGCGTGAATTCGATGTTAGTACTGACGTTTATGGTTAGGAAACTGTGCTACAAATCGTCACGACACACTGACGATGAAGAAAACACGAGGACAAGTGCCTGTCATTATCTTTTTAATCGTCAGCGGGTAAGGACCATTCATTTCGCCATTTCATAACCATGAAATCTTAACAACTCGCCAAGTATCAGTGCCACTAACGTTCTTCCCGTAATCCATGTCGTGTGCATGCTATCAGTCACATTCCGTTAGTTTTCTTGAACATAACGGTACTTATATATAGGTGCTCCTATAGGATACTGTGATACGGCATGCGGTGGGATCCCCATAACGTGTCACCCCTACGTGCTACTGCGAGTTAATGAGTGGCCTATACTGAAATGACAGGCCACAAATTCTTGCGTTATAACACGTGACATTCGCAATATTTGCAATGATGTAACGTTTATAAATTCTTGCTGTGTAATGATAAAAAGGCAATTTAAAGGCAAAAAGAAACGAAAAACTATCCAGAAAGTTTTGGTTTCCCTTGCGAGAACTGTAGTTTTTTTGCGCTGTCATGAGGATTCCGAAGGCTGGTGCGAAATCGGCGTAAAAGCAGACCCATCTGACGTCGGAGATTCCTGATAATGGCTTCCAATGTATTACATGATGCAACTTTATAGCGCGAAGGGTTGACTGGCAACCGAGAAGTTCTCTTTTTAGCGCCATACCACATGCAATTACTTTTACGCGTTCTTGAGACTTCCTCGTTTTGACAGCAGTTACTCTATATCTCTACGCTATCTGCGTTCAGTACAACCCATGTAATCATGTGAGCTGAGATTTCTGACGTTCACTTCGTGTTTTTATGAGCGTCACGAAAAATAGTGCCCCAAGTACCTTCAAAATGTGAAGGCACATAAGACACTAAGTGCGCTGTGTTCTTATCTGCATTTTTCGAGAGACCAAGCCGTAGGGCGCAGAAGTACGAACAGCATGATACTCTACAACTGGACACAAAAGAAAGGACACACACAAGGCGGCTTAGCAATTGAATTTTTGTCTAACGCAATATAAATAAATAAATAAATATATATATATATATATATATATATATATATATATATATATATATATATATATATATATATATATATATATATAGTCAAGTAGATTCTGCGTTAGCGGTCACAACGTGGTTTATTTCGACGTTTCGGCCTAGAGTCTAGCCTTCATCAGGATTGAACGTACAGTTTGTTGGTGCCCAACTTTATACAGTCTCAAATCAGAGGGAAAGAGAAAAAACACAGAAAAAAAAGAAGAAAAAAGAAGAAAAGGAAAAGACAAAAAGAGAAAAATAATATAAGGTGGACTCCCCCCAGGCGCCCCCCTTCCACTCTTCCTTCCACTTCTTCCTCCATCTATCTCAATTTTCTCCCTTTCACCTTTCTGATGTTAGCGCTATGTGTATGCTTCCTTTCACTAATCTAGTGAAAGAATGACTGTCAGTTGGGCGTGTTGGTAAAGGTTCATGATGAAACAAGCGCAAAAATACACACACTCAGAGAGGACACAGACAAGCGTTGTGGGCGCGTGCATATTTTGTTATATCACGTTGTTGATGATGATAGGGGAAGTCGGGAATGACGTACATGCGTGTGATGTATTAGTGTTCGTTTCGAAATAAAATTTTCAGTTGATAGTAAGCGTTTGTCTGTGTCCTCTCTGAGTGTGTGTTTTTGCGCTTGTTTCATCTTGATAGTGAAATAAAAGCCACTAACTTGTATATATATATATATATATATATATATATATATATATATATATATATATATATATATATATATATATATATATATATATATATATATATATATATATATACTGGAAAACATCCAAAAAATAAAAAAGGCATGCCACATTTCTTTTCAAAGAATCAATACACGTGCTCTTATTAAAAAAATACATTCGTCGTTCAACAGACAGATGACTTGCTGATGCACATTAAGCTTTGTTGCGCAATATGGCACTTCGATAATTTCGCGAGTGTGCTAGTTCTGATGTCTGCCGTCATTGTGGTTTCTTCAAACAGTGGGGCGCAGGTCCTCTGTTAAATCACATTCAGTCTCTGGCCACCGCTTGCCTGTGCCTCTTCTTTTGTTTCCCCTTGTAATACCACGACGGTTTATACTTAGTATCCACCCCCCTCCTGTTTTGCGCACGCCATGTGCTCGTGATCATAATCGCCTGATGGTGCGCGTCTGAGCTAAATGCCCACTATTTTTTAGATGCGAAACAGCTTACGGTGAAGTTCAAGTCAGTGTGCATGTGGCGTGACCACCTTCCTGCGCTTGCGCGAACTGTCCTCCCTCTCGCGTGAGTGCAAGAAGCTAGGAGGACCCTCTCCTCGCGGCGCGAGAAGGTGGGGTGCAAGGAGTGACGTAAACGCTGCTTCTACTCCACTCATCACACGGCTTGCGCCTTTTAGGGGCGAAGTTCCTTATAGCGGCAACCGTTCGTCCTTCATAGTCGTTGTAGTGTGTAACAAGTATAACATTTTGACCTGCAAGGTGGTGTTGGTGAGAAATTTCTTCTGTGCGTTGTTTAACATTAAAAAATAGTGCTCTATGTCCATGCCAATGGCTGCTAATGGGGAATGAGAGACAGGAACATTCGTCTTTTAGTTAACGCGCACGCTGCAATCCCCATTAACAGCCATTCGCACGTACATTGAGCACTATCTTACAAGAAAGGGTTGCTACGTTATACTCGCTGGGTGTAACCTCCTTAGTATTAGAAAGGTTTAGCGAGCGTTGGGCCGCATAGCCATGAATACAGTGAACTAGTATATACCATGAACTCGAGGTGGTTAAAGGTGGGAAGTAAACCCGAAGCGCAAGCCGTAGGAAAGTGTGCATGTGCCACCTCCTGTTTAGTCCTTGAAATGTCTGCTGGATGGCGGTGCTTCTATATGGAGAATATTTGATGAAAAGATGCGAGATGGTGGTACTTGGAGTGCTGAATAGATGTACGAACGGACACAGACCCAGATGCATGGATGGACGCATGAACGGACGCAGGGACAGATGCACGAACAGACGCACGCACGGACGGGTGGATGGACGCATGGACGGTTACACAGACGTACGCAGGAACGGACAGAAGCAAGAACGAATGCACGGACGAATGCTTCGCCCCACTCCCCATCATTCACTCCGTGGATATGCTGCCATTTTTTTCTTTCCTCAATCTCTCTCTCACATCTCTCAAGGCACTGTCGGCGAGAAACCGCTACGGATGAAACGCAAGCTAAACATGCCCAAACGCAACGGCAGCGTCGGCAAGCAACCCCCCCCCCCCCCCCCGTACTCAACGGTGACGTCGAAGTCAAGCGTAGCGTCGAGAGCTAATACGTCGGCTGCGGAGAGACGACGCGTATTTAACGCCCACGCAGAAGGCCTCGCTACACTGTTTTAACGCCCGTGCTTGGACGGTGTAAACTGCAGAAAAATTACACCATTTCCCGCTGAAGGAGACTATGAGGCGATGCGAAGCATCACGGAAGCTGCACGCCGCGTTTGCATCGGTTTCACTAAGCATATACGGTAACAACGTAGGGACATAAACAAAATATAAACGATAACACTAAATGCGCAACACAAATAAAAGCACCTCGTCAAACCGACGCAAAAGTGCTATGCACCCTCCGGCGCAGCTTCGTATTGCCTCATTGTCCGCCTTAGCTGGAGATGGTGTAATTTTTTAGTGTTCAGTGCTTCTCATGGTGGACTTATTCTTAATATTAAAGCACGCCCGCTCTGCTCTATGCTCCTCCAGACTATCACTTACACCTTAAGTCGCTTTATCTCTGTTTTTACACACCTGTCACTATCTACCTCTTCAAAGACCGTTCCATCTGGTGAGGAGGACTGGACCCGCCATCCACCTTTTCTCTTTTCTGGCTCGTACCTATGGCGCGGAGAGTACTAATTGGTGCTCAGATTAGTGACATTGTGGAAAAATGACTAGGCTGAAATGTTCTAGGCTGAACTGCGGATTGCCCCGCCGCGGTGGTCTAGTGGCTAAGGTACTCGGATGCTTGCCCGCAGGTCGGGGGGTCGATTCCCGGCTGCGGCGGCTGCTTTTCCGATGAAGGCATAAATGTTGTAGGCCCGTGTACTAAGATTTGGGTGCACGTTAAAGAACCCCAGGTGGTCAAAATTTCCGGAGCCCTCCACTACGGCGTCTCTCATAATCAAATGGTGGTTTTGGGACGTTAAACCCCGCAAATCAATCAATCAATGAACTGCGGACTTTCTTCGTTCTTATCGCAATGTCAGCCAGCGAAAGGTCAATGGGAAGTCACTGTGCTGCTTTTGCTCGTTTTAAGGCCTACAGAAAGAAACTGCTGTCTGGATAACTATGCGAGATGCAACACCAATTGCACAGTGTTTACCGTTGCAGATGCTCCATGGTACATAGTTTGCGCTACGTGACCGCTTCTATATCAGCAAGTGCCGCAATGTAACCGGAATGCCCAAAGCTCCGCTCAGTCAAATAAAATTCGGCTACGTGTTCCACTCAGTCAAATCACAATCGGGGTTGGCTGCGTTTCAGACCAAACCTAAACGGTCAGCTCTGTCTGTTGAAGTGTAAAACATCTAAGCACCACTCGAGCAGTAATCTGTGTTCCTTTGACTTATTTTATCGTGATATTAGTGGCGAAGTTCCACGGGCTGTGGGTCATTCCCTGCTCCGTTTGTATGTAGCCAAGTCCAGTTTATGACTTGCTCAATACATGGCGTTATGTGCGTATGTCTTTTAGAGTTACTCTATATGCTATCTTTTGCTA